AAAAAAAAAAAACTTTATGAGGTGTGTGTCAACTGTGCATAAGTGCGATGTCGATGGTTGGCTGTTCCCCCTGTACTACTTAAATCACTCCAAATACAATACTTTCCTGTTTATAGTACTCGATTTGCCTTTCTTCTCACCTTTCCTGACTATATGGTATCTCTTCTTTCTTTTTGACTAGAATAGTTTTGCGCATCTCTGGTAAACGTCACAAGACTAATACCGCGTTCAACCTATAGCCACGAAGACAGCTTATATCGCTTTTTAGAAAAAAGAATAAAATAAAATTTTGCATTAATGATGCAGACACTGGATTTGGCAAATTTTCCTGTTACAGAAACTCTTAAGATGCTCGCTTCACTGCTGGAAAAGATTACAAACGCAAACGACCATTTAAAGTCAACTCATAATAACATAAACCATTCTGAATCAACGTCTTCTTCCGTGACAAAAACATCCACTTCATCCTTCACGCGTTTTCACGCACGTTCAGTTCCTTCAATAGATATTCATTCATATCTTTCAAGGATATTAAAATATTGTCCTACCACGAATGAATGTTTTCTTTCATTATTAGTATATTTTGATCGGATGTCAAAGAATGCATCCGCTACTTCGGGGAAAACCTTTTCTATCGACTCTTTTAACATTCATCGTCTGATAATTGCCGGTATAATGGTGTCCTCCAAATTTTTCTCTGACGTATTTTTCACTAATTCAAGATATGCAAAGGTATGGTAAGGGTACATCCAGATTCTACAAAGTTTCCAAGATGCACCGCACCATTTTTTTTCTTTTTGTAGATGTACGATGATGGCGGAGAACTCCCATTTGCTCTTTTCTTATCAGGGTCTAAAGAAATTTATGTATCTATAAATCTCCAAAATTCTTTAACTATGTGGATCATTTAACGTCAAGTACCTTTTAATTCCGGGTGTCCGATCTGCATCCACTGGCAAAATATCATTTATTTTCATGGGAATTCATTCCGATTCAGTTGTTAATCGGTGGATTCGATTATATCGACCCCATATAACTTAAATTAAATGATACAGTGACTTTCTCATCACATCATCGTGCTAATTCTATACCGTTTTTTGCTATTCATTTCAATACTTATAACATAAAATGATTGGATTAATATAATTTGCTTTTTTTTTTTTTCGTCGAATTCCTTTTTGGATGTCTATTGTATTTTCCCGTCATTAATAGGTGGGAGGATTACCAGTATCGGAATTAAATCAGCTCGAGTTGGAATTTCTCATATTGAACGATTTTCGCTTAGCAATAAGTGTGGAAGAATTACAACGATACGGCGATCAATTACTCAAACATTGGATATTAGAAGAGGAAATGAAACAAGGGGGGGGGCATATATGATGGTATGCGATTTCAAAATAGTCCTGTTAACCTTAGATGGGATTCGGGGCATAACTTTGAAAAGAACGTCACACAACCTAAACGGACACGACGTTTACATTCTAACGATGACACAAATATAAGAAGTGGTGGTTCAAAGCCATTGAAAGATGATGATCAATTTGATAATGGTTACTATTTTAGTCGCCATCGTCGAGATAACAGTTTCTCATCAACAAAATCATTGAATATCCCATATCAATCCTCTTTAACTTCGTCTCCTCAACCATATTCAACGCATATATCAAAAACACCACCTCCACCATCTTTATGTGGCTCTTCACCATCTACTTCAAGTAGTTCACTTCCCATTCCAAATTCTATAAATGGTTCACCAATGCACGCTCCTTTTGCTTCAAGTAGTATGTTTAATATCCATCCACATTATCATTTTTTACATAAACCATATCCTCATCATACACACCATCGGTCAGCGAGTATAGAAGGGTCGACCATAAAACGGGCGAATAGCAGCGGCTCTTTACTGAGTCGTGCAAGAGGTTGTGATTTATCTGACGATTTACAATATCAAAGACGTTCCTCACCGAAATCGATTAATCCTGAAGATCATGCTTATCGGACTGCTGCTGTTTCTCCGTATTATTCTGCACATCCGGTATCAAATACCTCATCATTAACGACTTCAAGTAATAATAGGAGCGTTCCTCAACAACCAACTTTGGTAAATCCATCTCCTACACGGAACATCTCAAATTTTATGAGACGTATGTCTCATGATTCACCCGCAAACACATCACAATATCCACCGTCTACTTATCATTACGCTGGATATCCTCCTCAATCATCAACGCAGTCTCTACCAACTACTCCCGTGACTACATTACCTTCAATGCAGGGAATATCTTTTAATCCTTCAGTAATAAGTAATGCCGCTCATTCTACTGTTGCTGCTGCTTTGAATTATGCTCGAAGAGCTTCTGTTGTTTTGCCACAAATACCACGTAATCTAGGTGGAATTCATAGCAGTATGCCTTCGCCAGTATCAACTGTCGCTCCTGATAACATGGGTCCTGGACTGGTTAGACGTGGATCATTTCCTACAGTATTGAGTGGAAGCAGTCTTTCTAATGGTAATAATAATAATGGTGGTGGTAGTGGTAGTGGTAGTGGTGGTATTCATTCAGAACCAAGGAGTTCTAGTTCTAATGTAGTAATGAACAATGGATCTTCGTCAGCACAAACATCGGTATCTTCAAATCCTATAATGGTTAATGGTCATGGACACACAAGTGGTATAGGAAACATATTTCATAAAATTACTAAAAGAGGCAGTTGGGTAATTGTTAATCATCCTCAATCGAATACCAATCATGGGCATTATAATCACCATGCGCATCAAGCTAATCATCAGCATGGCAAACTTAATAAACATGGCTATTATTACCAGCAGAGTTATGACCACGGCAATGTATCTCGATCATCTTCATCTGATTCTTGCCATTCTTCATCGACTACAGGTTCGGATACTTCAGGAGGCTCAGGAATGGAATCATCTCTCCCGACATCGCAAACTACCACAAGTGGAAGTGATAGTTCAAATATAAATGGTCCGAATAAGACTCTTAAAAATTGAAGTTTAATTGAATTAAATCTAATTGATGATGTGTAATGAAGGTTTTTTATTATTTTATCAGGTGAAAATTTATTATTAACCGATGAAAACG